CCAGGCCGTGCAGGCCAAGTCAATACTGAGAAGCGGGCCAAGGACTCAGATGGGCAGACGGGGCAGGGGAGATGTAAGGGGTCGTGTGAAGCAGTGAGGGCCGGGGAGGAGACATGGACGAGCCACAGAGGACAGCACGTGAAGACCAGAGGCGAAAGCGAGCCGGGAGGTCTGGAAGCTGACAAGATGGAGCTGGGGGTACATGGAGCCAGAGCACGGGAGCGGGGCCCGGGGCGCGGACGTGCCTCTAAGGGCAGCGGGCAGCCATCACGGCTCCCCGGCCGTGTCCTCCCACAGAGAGGCAGCACGGCCTGAACTAGAGTCACGCCAACCTGGCTCTGAGACCCAGCTTAGTCATGTACTAGCTGTGCGACATCGGGCAGGCTGCTGTTCACCCTCTCCAGTCCTGTTTTATCATCTGCACAGCGGTCCGTGGTACTTGAAGTTATCATACGTTTACTTTTCACTCTACGTGTTTGATTCTGATCTTCATCCAAAAGCATACGAGCTTCCTGGGAGCAGAAATACACACCCCAGCACCCGGCACAGAGCCCGGCACATAAGGAGACAACCGACATGTAAACAGCTACAGTGGACACGGGCAGCTAACTGCCACTAGATGCCACTGAGTACGCCCCCAGCTCTCAAACAGCCACGGGTCATAGGGGGGCCAGGCCCAGCACTGTGATATCTCCCAGACACAAGCCAGGGACTGAAACGGAGCAACTCACCTTAATCCTCTGCTCTTGGCCCACCCGTGCTTCCTGGCTGGCCTGGAGCTCCTGAACCTTCTGGTTAGCTTCCTGCCATTTCCTATTAAGGAAAAAGTACATCATGTGCAGAAACAGGCGTGTGGTAAAGCCAGCAATTGCCCTCACTCTAAAAGCTCTCCAGCACAGACACACTCACTCATACATGCACGCAAGCACACTCCTGCACACTCCCTGCAAGGACGCCTCAGGGTCCAGGGCCCAGCCCCTGCTGGTGGCTCTGTGGCCTGAGTCGCAGGGCAGGTGGGTAAGTCCAGACCACCTGCGAGTCCTCTCCCCTCCCCACACCTCTCACAATAGGAGCTTCTGCTGGCCCTGGAACAGCCAAAGCCAAGGACCCGTTCAGGACCGACCCATCCCCCGCAACCCTGCCCCATTCCACCTAGTGGCCAGAACTCCCCTAAGACAACACCTACTAAGGCAGAGGCCACGAGCTTCGGGAGAGCACTGTCTTCTACCTGCATGTCCTGGCGAGCTCTTCCATCCTGCCGTGCCTTTGCTCAGAGGGCTCCCTCCCCAGGAACGTCCTTTCCCACCCACGTCCCCCCTGCCCCAGGGCATGTCCTACGCAGCCTTCAAAATCTCGCTCAAACCCAACATCTTCTCTGAAAGCTCCCTCCAAGAAGGCATCCCACTCCCAGAGGAGGAAAGAAATGACTGTTCCCGCTTCTTATTCTTGGAACATTTGAAACACTGCTCTGTTCTGGCACTAAAAGGTCCTGGCTTCAAAGGCCTCAGTGTGTCCCAACAGCCTGTGGATGGGAGGCTAGCACACGAAGGGCACTCGTGGAACCTCAGAGCTTCAGTGCACACGACGTTCGTGAACGCTGGGCGCTCAGGCCACAGAGGGCACACGCAGGAGAGCAAGCCTGGGTCTTGCACATGGTTAACGAGTGGACGCCCAGCTCGGCACGCAGCCCAGCAGGCTTCGGGCCGACTGTACCCAGGTGGACAGCCGACTGTACCCAGGTGGACAGGCTTACCTGGCAAAGGGGCGGGGACCCCTGCCCTGAAGGGGGCGGACCTGCCCGCCTCCATGCTCACCTGTGCTGCAGCTCCAGCTGCTCCTTCAGCTCCTGCCTCTCAGACTCCAGGCGTTTCACCTGCATCTCCTGGTTCATCACGCTCCACTGCAGGTCCGAGAGCCTCCCCTTCAGCACACTGACAGTCTGAAAGCGAGACAGACAAGAGCCGGTCCCCTCCCGTCCCGCTCTGGAGGGCGAAGACAGAGCCATCTCCTCCTTCGGAACACATAACCGCCCCTCAACCCCACCCAAGCCCCGCCTCGGTGACCCGCGGCCTCGGGAGTGAGAACGCTGCCGGCCAAGGCGGGCCCGGGCCTGACGCCTGGCGGCCTCCACACCCACACCCCACGTCACCCCTTCCCACCCGGCGTGTGCACAGCCCCCAAGTCCGTGGCGGCCCACACCCACTCTGTCCTCAGCCCAGAATCCCTTCTCTAACCACCCCACCCCACCTCCGCGCCCCCCGCCCAGCTGTGTACAAGACGCTACACGGGGACAAGCCGGGCACCCGCCAAGAAGTCAGAAGTGGGCGCTGAGGCTGTCCTCAGCATGACACCACGAGAGCCACACACAACGAACGGGAGCTGCACGAGTGCCGCGGAGGCTGAAGCGCTCCCAGGCCAGAAGGGGTCATGGGGGAAGGCACAGGGAGGCCTGGGGAGGCAGCCCAGCGCACAGCCTCCAGGAGAGCGAGTCCGCCAGACGGACACTGGGGTGGAACTGCAGTCCTCAGCTCGGACCACACCCTCCCCAGACAACCTTCTGGTGAGGGGACCCCACTTGTGGCTTTCCTGGGGCAAGAGAGCACGCCTCCAACAGGAAAAGCCAGCCCACTCAAGGGCATCACTCTAAGTTAACAAATGGAAACATCGCCCCATCAGCCTCTGAGAATCAGACATCAACCTACAAGCTGAGGGCAAGAGGACGGCCTGGCAAACTCACCACAGTGAGCAACCCTCGCACGGAGCACCGTCTGCAAACACGGAGGCCACAGCAGGCCCCCCAGGGAGGCTGACGGAGGGTGGGTCTGTGTCCTACCCTCTCATCGACCTGCATGGTTTCCTTTATTATAACAGTGACTCTCGATCTGGGACCCAAAGAAGAATGAAGATACTTAAGATTTATTTAACAATGAACATATCCTTTGAGGATTCTTCCTGAATTAAATAAAGGTACAGGCACTGTGCTGAATACAGGAGTCAGACAGCCCACCGCCTGGAGGACAAAGCTGCGCAAAAGCCAGGCCATCAACAGGATGACCTCAGAGAGCACAAGCATCTAAACCAGGGCACCATGACAAGAGAACACCGTTGTGCGGGTGGGAGGTTTACAGACCTAGACTCGGAACCAAGGACGCCTTCTCCACAGGGTGAAAAGGGAGACAAGCAACGTCGGGGTTTCCGTCCCAAACCGCCACAACCCTTGCCACGCCAGGCCCCATGGGCGTCTGCTCTGCAACTTCTGTGCCAAGGGTGCCCCCCAAATTGCTCCCCACTGAGCCATGTGCAGGACATGCCCACCCCATCCTCCAGAGAAGCCTGCGACGGAGCACAAGCAGGCACACACCCAAGGCGGGAGGAGGACTTGCCTTAAGGCCACTCATGGCTCCTCTCCTGCCAACATCCACATCAGAAGACAGATGTAGGAACAACCTTAACACGCTCCCCAGCGTTGCCAAGGCAAAAATCACCTGGCACCTGCTCCGAAGGTCTATCAAGGAGAGAAAACCACGCAGAGACAGACCACCAGGGGTCCCGCGGCCCCCGACTCCTCCCCCGGCAGCGTTTCATCTTCCTCCTCGCAGCACCTGTGATCCCGAGCAGCACAGCAGAGACAGGGAAGGTCAGAGGAGTCCAACTTCCACAAGCATCAATGTCTGGGTTCTGTCTCTAAAGTTTACACAACCTTCGGTTGGTAGAGACAATAAGGACTACGGTTGATCTATGCTCTGGTTCCAGACATATTCTCAGATGCTAACAAACCTTATTAATAATCAAAGAAATGCAAATCCAGAGGCACATCTCCGGGGGTGGGGGCGGAGGGGCAGAATCACAAGTATTTCCAGAAAACACCATTATGCGTGCCAGGCAGAGGTTCCAGTCAAAGTAGAATCCTCAACAATAGCTACTAGTAGAACACAGCAACTGGTAGCAAAAGCCACAGAAGGAACTGTACCTGGTGATCTTATAACCCCATTCCTAGGGATCTGTCCAAACCGAATCATTCAACAGAAACAAAAAGGCTACACGCGTGAAGCTATCTACCACATATGTACCTGTATCAGGGTGTGTGTGTGTATAAAAAAAAAACACTTGAAAGTGACCAAAAACAGTTTAGTCAACCACTAAAAATCATAATCACAAAGACTAAAAAAAAGTATTCAACTTACTAACTGAAAACCACAGAATGGAAAATTAGTATCTTTGCTACGATCACAACTACACAAAAAACGTAGGCACACACGTGGGAAGCAGAAGTACACAGTGGCGCTACCACGGAGCTACCGTGCTGGAGGTGGGAGTGCGTCTCCTCTCCACCCAGAGACTGCTCGCGGGGAGAGGGCAGCACCCCAGCCTGGGGCCCCAGCCCCTCACCTCGCCGGCTTCGGCCAGGCCGTCCTCCTGGTCCCGCAGCCTCTTGCTGGCCGCGTCCAGGCTCTGCTGGCACAACCTGTAGCGCTGCAGCTGCTCCTTCATCTTCCCCTCCGCCTCGGCTTCCCGCTCCTGAAGCTGCCGAATGCGTGTCAGGAGCTCCTGGTTGCGGTCCACCTCGCGCTGCCAAGGAGAACGGCCCGGTGAGACGGCGCGTGAGCAGGCCGAGCCCAGCCCACTCTGCCCGCCGGACAGGACTGAGACCCAGTGCAGAGCCACCGATAAGGGAAAAGCCAAGTCCACAGGCGCCCCGAGGCCACAGCGGAACGCCCTCCAAGGGGAGCGCCCGGCCACAGCAGCGCGACGCCACATCTCACGGCGCCCCCCGGGAGGGCGCTCGGCACACGTCACCGCCACCGACCACTGCTCACGGTGGCCGTCTACAGGGAGGAGCACAGCAATCTCACTCAGACTCGACCTTGGGAAGATGCCTCTGAGCTTGGCAGCTCCGGCGGCTCCCGCTCCAGTGAGTCGGCACGCCCCCAGAGAGTGGACGACCGGGCAGGGACAGGGGGCGTGGCCAGCAGCCTGCAGGCAGGAGCACTTGACCCTGGGCCCTCACCTACCCCAGAGCTTCAGAGCCACCCTGCACTGGCCCCCTCGAGGGGTCGCGTGGCTTGCGCTGGTAAGGAACGCACAGAACTCAGACTCCTCACTCTGACGATCCCTCGGGGTCCGAAGGGGCAAGTGTCGGCCACTGAGGTTACCCTCAGCCCAAGAAGCAAAGGGACCACAAGTGGCAGCCAGAGTCCCAGGGGCAAAGGCACCAAGTCCTAATTACATGGAGCCTGACACTCTGCTGACCTCTGCCCTCTCATCAGGAAGCTGAGCCGCAGAAGCTCCCGCCAAGGGCTGCCTGCCGGGCACTCGCAGGGCCTGCCGTACTCAGAGGCAGTGCTGAGGCCAGGACTCTCCGAGCCCAGCGGCAAGGAGGAGCTTAAGAAAAGCACGGCCAGGGCCACGGCCTCCTGCTGATCCAGGGTTCAAAGGAGCCACGAACCGCGAGTACAGCCTCCAAACCACCAGGAGGCCTTAAAGCCTGGGGCCCTGGCAAGATGCAGGAGTGAGGTGCTGTGGCTGTGCAGGGACCCAGCCAGCACGTCACAGGGCAAGACGTGGCATCTCTCCTCAGGCTGCCAGTCCCAAGTGCACAGGCGGCAGTCCAGGCAGGTCCCCAGACCTTGGACACTGAAGTCTCACCATCTCATAGGTATTTCCAGGTGGGAGGGCTGAGATTCCCACCCACCTGCCCTCTCCACCCACTACCAAACTGGCAGTCCCTGAAAAACCTTTGCAGATAGCCGAGACTCAAAGGGACAACTGAAAACCACTGGCTCAGACGGTTCGAGGGCCGTCTTCAGCCAAGTCCACGGGCAGCGGGAAAAGGCCTATCCGAGAGGAAGGCGCAAGTTCAGCGAGGGGCCCCAGGGTTAAGCTCAATCAGCCCTCTACCCTCGGATTTCCCCAAGAAAGACTGTCAGTGACTCACTTCAATACCTGCCAGATTCCCATGGCCTCTCCCTCTTCCCCTTCCCACCGGCTCCCCCAGGACATCTTTCCTAGGACAACCCAGAACATCGGCAAAGGCACCACACTGAGCAGTGCCAGGGCCAGTGCCGAGGCAGCAGTCCCCCCACCTGCCGCACACTGGGCTACGGAGTCCACACAACACACCACAGCACGGGCCTGCACATCGGGTTCAAGTACATCCAGTTAGCATCACACCCTCGAAGCCATCAGCTATTTCTACAGGGACTAGGAAAGAGTGG